AATAGAAACAAACTACCGACATGACGGACACAGTCAACATTTTCTCTGCAGTAGCTGTTTTTCTATTAGTCACTATTAGTGTGAAACCCAGATGGGCTGAGTCCCACTCCTCTGTCGCTCCAGTAGAAATAGCCTCCGCAGCAGCAGTGGTACCTGTGGAGTGACTGATAGGGACTGGTACATGACGTGCTGATAACATAGTGGGTTCTGGCAGCTGCAGTATTGCTGCCAGTGTCCCAGGCAACCAGCCGCCAGAGTGCCAGCATCTGTGGCTTTACGCTCACAGTGAGGGATTAGGTGGTCAGAGTAATGTGTGCACAGTGTCAGGATTAGACACATATACATACAGCTCCTACAGCTTACGGTGACCCGTTTTCACCTTTTATAGCCAGATGTAGTTCTGCAGACAAACACGTGCACAAAAAGTAAGTTCACCTGTTGATATTAGTTGTAGGTGTGACAAATACATTCTCATTCAATTCTTCATACAATACATTCATCACAAGTGATAAATCATTGATACATCGACACCATTAAACATGTGAATTAGGGATGAGGACACCATTTTGCTGTGCCATTAGCCATACAAATCTTTCAATAACTAACTTAGTTATTTGCTATTTGAGTCATCTAATAAATGTTAAGTCTGATGAAAAAATCATCTGCGGTTGCTTTATGATGTGGCTTTCGTGCAAAAACAAAGTGGAGTGGTGGGATGCCTGAGTGGAAAGGTAACATTAGGCACAAACGCCTGCATCCACCAGCGAATATACTCCTCCACTTATTTCCTGCTGAACAGTCCTCAGAGGTGTGCTGCAGACTATTTGGATGCCAAGTATATAATAGAGGTTTACATTATTTTCCATAGGATTGCTGGTTTCTCTACTGTGCCACTGGATGAGCCTGACTTGCAATACTGCAAGATTTGTGCTGCTCATCTCATCAAGTATAACTTTGCCATCTTGGTGAAATAAATCTTTGGATTCAGTTCAATCCTCTCACTCAGCAGGGAAGCATCTTGCTGTACAATTTCCCACCATAATGGACCTTTACTGCACGCAAAACTGAAAAGATTTTAGTTATTTCAGTCCTATTCATGCAGGACTAGTATTACCCGTCGCCTCCTGTGGTTGGTTATAAGAGGTGGTCTTTGTTCTTAATCTTGTGAGAATTTGAGCTGTCCATTATCATTAAAGTAAGAATTTCACTGCTAATAACCCACCGTGTTTTGCCAAAGGTCAACATAACAGGATCTTAATACTACATTTATTCTAATGCATCGTGATAATCTTTTATTGTTAGTAACGATACCCTACCACCAATTTAAGGCCATGCTGACAAAGGCCATTAGCCAGGCATCCCCTCGAGAGTGATTATGATAAGAGAAATGTGACCTTTTCTGCTAGACAAAAAACACACCCACACACAGACGCACAGTACAGCAGCTGACTTTGCTGATTTGCACACCTCAAGCCTGAGATGGGGGACCTCATCAGTGAAATCAGCTGGTGTGGTGTTTGGTTGGGATAAAAATCTGCACACTCTTGATAGTATCCTGATTCTCAGCTATGCATCCAAGGTATTCAATAGGCTTTGATTTGATGACTGGAATGAAAACCAGCAGCAGGGTCCTGATGACCACAACTGAGAACCACTGGACGTGATTATACCATCAACTGCTTGACAACCTAAAAATAGTTATTAAAGCATTTTATATATAACACAGAATGAGATAAGAGGATCAAAGTATTCAGGATCAGAGTGAGGTTTTCTACTGGGCGTATTAATCTTCTGTCTATTCATCAAAATCCCTCATCTCTTCCTGTAAAATATGTTTCATGACTCATCCAGCACTGGGGGTGGACACAAGATTACATTCAATAACATGTGATTATACATTTTGTGGACAACACCATCAACTTTCAGTTTATGTAAAAGCTGCAGATCTAGCAAACTAACAGTAGGCGCATTAAGTGGATTTAGTTGTCAGATTTTAACCAACACTGCCAACCACTCTTCACTTCCAAAGGCTCACACATTCAGTTTCTTCTTCTCCTTTTCTTTAACTGGTGGTGAGGGAAGAAGCAAGTGATCCTCTGTGGCTACCTTTTGAACTCTAAAATCAAGTTCTTCTTGATGTTTCAGTGAGGTGAGAAACATGGCAAGAAATACTTCAAACCATTTATTACGACCTTAAACACATTTCACAGAACCTGAAAAGATTTTTAAAAAAGCTACACATGGGCTAAAATCCTGCTCAGTGCTGTCTAGTAGTTGCACTCATGTGAAGTGTAACACTTCACAATGTACAACAGAACAACAATATGTCAAAGCTGACGATACTCACAACTGCAACCGACTTAAAGCTAGAGTAGGTAATTTATTTCAAAAGCATTTTCTGTTATATTTGTTAAAATTCTCTTGACTCTTACACAAAAAAGGACTGTAATAAGCAAGGATCGTCATTTAATTTGGCCTAAATGAAATGACTGGCTGGCTTTGGAGGAAAAGCTTGAAGAGAGGGGGTGGGATTTTTTCAGTTGGATACTTTCAAAATATAACCATCTCTTGCTAGTTTCTACCATGTTACCTAGCCTAGCCTTAAAACTTAAACTCATGGAGAACAGTACAGGAATGGTTAACCTCCAAACCACCATTGAACATTTACTCAACTACTATACTCAAGTACAAATTAGAGGTCCTTGTGTTATAGTATTTCCATTATATACTACTTCCATGTCACTACATTAACCAACAGTATTTAAAATAGTTAAAACTAGCTCCACCTTGACTAACTAACGGTAAAATGTTACTTACATATTATGCGTGAGTAATCCAATAATCTATTATATAATAGTATATTACTCTCATTAGCCTGTTTTCTGCATTAGGCCTACTTATGGGTACTACTGTCAGCTTTCTTAAGTTGCAACACTTACTGAAAACTTAGCATGATTGTGAGCATAATTTTGTTCAATCACTCCAAAGCCTAACTCTGGACACTTCATGTGGCTATGATAAAAGGGAATAATAAGAAAACATGTACCACTGTGGTAAACACCACTAACACAATAAATTATTATCCCAAATCTAAATAATATTTTAATACCATTAAAAAAGACTGAATTCAGTGTTTAACAAAACACGGATTAGAAGAGAAGAATATGTATAGTACAGGTATATAAGTACAGGGCTATTGTTGCATAGCTGCACTTGACATGGAGTGCAGCTCTCAGCATAAACTCAAGTGTCATACCCCTGAAATAGTAGTGCACATCTTGAATGAAAAGCAAATCCACCCAGAACAACTAGGAGAAGAGAGTTGCCAGGAGTGATATATGGGTGTAGTATTTGATATACAGAGCAGTCAAAGATGGACACCCAAACTGGCATATCAAGTGTGCAAATGTTTCTATGAAACTGTCAAGTTATGTGTTGTAACACATTTGTCTCCAGGCACCGCAGCAGCACTGAATCATTAAGAGTTAAGCTAAACACGCTGATGGTACTGGCCATGGCCTGATGGAAAATACTGCTTAGAAAAAGTACAGGACAAATCTGAATTCAATATGACAATAGCAAATCTTATAATCCTACTTTCTGTAACAAACATGGATGTTTAGCCATGCTTTAAAGTATTATGGTCATCCAAAGTATTGCACTACCCATACACATGTGCAATAAGGATAAAGATAAAATTTGAACCAGTGTGGGGAAACATTTTTATGACTATACTGTGTGCATCACTTAACAACTCAAAAATGTAATTTTTCACTTTAGGGGCTCTTTAATATTCATACAGTGCTATTATCACAGTTAGTGTTTCAAAGCAGTCAACCCCGCAAGTCAATGCCACCAGAGATTTTTAATGGCCGGGAGTCCTGGTCTGTCTATCACTATAACAGACCGATGTCTCATTAGAAATACAGGCTGTACTGTACCAGAGAACATTACAGACACTTGGATGGTAATGGGTGAATTTTAATAGTCATGGTGATCAAGTTAATGGAATCAAAAAGGCGGTTCCTCTGTGGACCAAATTCATTTATGGTGGGTAACTCACCAGAACTCACTAGTGAAAATCTAATGACTGATGAACTGATAAAAAACTGACATGTAGTTCTTAAAAGTCTGTAGTAGATGATATAGGTTCTATACTGATGTATCCACTTTCACAATCTAAATAGTCTTCTACAAATAGTGTAAAACATAGTTTATCAAATTTAGCAATCACTCCGAAGCATGGCAGTAAAGCAATCACAGATAATGTTCTGCATATACATATCTTTTCTTATTTATAAATGATTACATCTAGTTCATTCTTTTGTATAATTCAACCGCTCTCTTGTCTCTTGACATCAAGCTGCAGAACACATCATGTCAGAGTTCAGACAAGCTAATTAGCATCCAGCTGGGATCTGTGTGCATGCAGTCAGGCTCTGAAGCGAAATCCACTCAGTCAAGTTTAAAATGTGGAAAACATGTTTTTCTTCACTGTTCAAATAAGAAATAATATCTGTTGACTGGTTTTATGAAAATAATATCAATGATAGCAGCATCTGTTAAATCATCTATTAGGTAAATATCCTAATTTCAAACACCAGATATAACAACAGCAGGGCTTGGTTAATGATCACCTAATCTAATCAGAACAACAAAGCTTGTGCTTTTGGTTGTTTTTATTTGTTTCTACAAAAATCTCAACACAGTGGCTAGCAAGCCTCAGCAGGCCAAACTGCTCCAAGCTAATGAGGGGAATGGAGGAAATAAATGCCCAGCAGTGCTTTGATTTGCGAGGGACTGGAATGGAGAGCTATGACACTGTTATAGTATTTCATCATTTCACTAACAAGTTGGATTTCATTCCCCCTCAGTCTCCTACAAAACCACACAGCAGCTAATGAGCATCATTGTTCCAAACCCTGTATTTCTGGTCATACTTTAAGCACGCTGCCCGACATAGGCACGGGGCTGCAGGCCAGTTGGGCGCACAAACTCACCTCCTTCTCTCCACAGATATTGCTGATGATGGAGTTGGAGGCCGGACTGGCAGAAGGACCGAGGACTGCCACCACCCCTTTTGACATGATCTGGCACACTGAGAGGAAATAGAGAGGGGGGCCGGGGGGACGACAGAGACAGTGAGAGAGAAAGTAAGTCAGTCATTGCTATTCAGGAAAGTAAAGTACAGGCTTTATTGAAGCATCTGAGTCAAGGCATAAAAAAAGACCTCTTCAGCCAGATGTTAATGGATGCACATGCTGACTATCTCAACCTCTAAACAGATAGCGGCCTGAGCCAGCGTTTCTAATGTCTCAAGGGAACCTGACCCTACATGTGTTAGTGAAACGTGCACAACCCCAAATGCATTTGTCCATGCTTAATATGCCTAATGTGATGCACAAAAAAAAAAAAAAAAAAAAAATCCTGTCCATGAGAGTTTAATTGCTTGTGGGAGAAACTGATATTCATATAACCCACATTCACATATGGAGACAGAAAGATATAGAAATGGGAAGAGACATAGACAGATAAACAGAGTGACAGACAGAGGCAGAGAGCCCAAAATAGTGACAGGCAGTGATATCTGTAGCCTTAAAACATAAAATCCGGTATTTGAACATTTGCACATGAATGCCACAATATCCCCCAAAGTGACACACGCAGCTCATCTTGTTTTCCACATTCAACATTTTACAAGGACTGATTTAAAGGTTTTACCTTTGGGGATGAAAATATATCTTTAGACAGAACAAATATTAGTGACTGTGAATTTTACTCGTCTCTGATGTACACAGACCATATGCTTTAATTTCCCATAGTGGAAAACAGAAGGTACTTGTGAGTTTATAATCCTTGGCTTCTAATTAAACCACTACAGTCAATCATGACACAAGTACAGACAGTATGTGTTAATGTGTGAGCACAAAGCAAGTGTGCGATGGTAATTTGGTGTTGGTTATTTGGGCAAAGGCATGGCATTAACCAGCAATGTGTGTGAAACAGGCATAAGGGGAACCGTTTTTGGGCCTGTGCAGTGAATCCAGAGGCAGTGAATCGAAATATTAATAAGTAATCCCTTAGTCACCCATGGGGACGGTAAGATATAAACAGACAGACACCTTACACCCACATAAACATGTATGCGCACATTTACAGTACAGTACTTACACACACACACACACACACACACACACACACACACACACCTGTCTGCATGGCTTCACCAAATTATAAAGCTGAATGGTTTTGACTGCCAGCGAACATGCTCCTGTGACACTTTGATTTGCTTCCTCTCTGCACAGCTAGCGTTGTGTGTGTGTGCATGTGTATGTGTGAACAACACAGAATGTGCATGAAAGGTCTGTGTCTCTACCTCCTCACCACAGTTTATTTGTAATCTCATGCACATTGATGTCAGTGTCAAGGTGTCAATCTTGTCAGACACAATTCACAGAGCTGCTCACTGGCGGTCCAAATATGGTCAGAAGGTCACAAGGTCAGCTGAAGTAAATTTTTCCCATTTAACATTGATTTTCCCTGATCAATACGCACTATTGGAACCTCGGAATGATTAGAGGGCTATAATGAGTTTGACTTGAAAAAAGCTTGATAAGCTATGCTGGTTAAACGTGGAATGGCAGGCACACTCACATACAAGGAAAAAGCCATGACATACAGTAGAACCAGAAACACCAATGTACACTCAAACACACATGGCCATAGTGTTTGCAAACTTAGAAATAGTTATGGCTTCCTTTCACCTCTTAAAGGATTACCATTTTAGGAAAGATAAAAACATTCTCAGAAATCAGTTTGCTCAGGTGGACACATGGCAGCAATAAAGCAAACTTTACACGCAATATATAACTGTGAAAGAAGGGCTGTTTGTAAACTGGAGTCTTGTCATGTGGTGTTTTCTGCCTTCAAAAGCAGCAGCCAGTACAGGGAGGCATCCATTTAGGAGCTGTATACTACACAGGCAGGAGTGGGTGGTTGAAAGGTGGGGGTGGGACTGTTCTGGGCAGGTAGCATTCCCTCTGTGATATTTCCATCTAACTGTGGCCACTGATCCGTCCCTAATCCAATTCCTGCCTCTAATTACACACACACACACACACACACACACACACACACACACACACCACACACACTTGTACTTTCACACACATAATGCACACACAGACACACAAAAACATTTTCACAATATACACACAATCCAGCAAGCACACACCAACACACGCTACCTTGCACACAGAGAGAAACACACAGGAGGAACTGCCACATTCAGAAAGAGTTTATAGTAGCCAGGCAAAGAAAGTAATACAATTTCTTGTTGTTGTGTCAAGTGAAGCAGTATTTCCATGGATTAAGCGGCGCCACTGAAGCTCTTGGGTTTGTGAAAGTGGGAATGTGTCGTATTGAAAATCAATCCCCACACTTCTTGTCATAGCTGTTTGTGTTGGTCGTTTTCTGCAGACACATACTGTGCTGTATTGATTTTGGATAGTTTTCACTAAAAATTAAAACATCTAACCAACAAACACTGAGGTGTGAGGCAATAAGTCATCACCCAGTACCATGTTCTGGGTGATGACTTATTGCCTTTTTGGTGTGTGTATTATCAATTGATAATAAATAAGTACTCTAGCTTGTGTTAATGGAGTCACCCTCAGTGATGCATTTGTTATCTGTGTGACAAATTACTGGAAATCTCGTAATGGCCCATTTAAAGAAGATCCATAAGAATTTGTATTGAAGGTCATCTCTATTTTGACATGGATCAAGTCAATTTTACATTACACTGCCAATTCCTTTTTACAGAAAGTTTTGTTCTGCTCTGCCCTGCCACAACAGAATGAAAGTTGCATATATATATACACACACACACAGACACACACACATATATATATATATATATATATATATATATATATAATAAGAGAACAAAATCTAACTCAGCAAACAGACATAAACACCATCTGACTCCTGCAGCTATCAAAATAAGACAGCTCATTTTGCATTCCTGTACCACACCAGTCTGTCATCTATTTTCAATGATATATTTGCTTCTGTTTGACCAAAATACTGTTAAACCAGACAGATTTATCACTGTGTACTTGGATGAAGAGTGTGAGAGGAAGAGTGAAAAGAAGACAGTTGACCTGAACTGAAATAACAGGCTTGCTGATTTCAAAATGAGAGAGCATTTTTGCTGGCGCGATTCCTGACTGCACCCAGAAGCACCTCACATTTATTACTTTCTCCCTAAGGAGACGCACCATCTCACACCCACATGAACAAACACACACATCCACACTTTCTTTTCCTCACCAATTAAGTGGCATTTCTTCCCTCTGTTACTTACTTGTTTCGCCCATCTCATATTCACTGTCTCTCAACAGTTCAAAGATGTCCACCTCCAGCTTGCCAGTGGTTGAGCGGTTACTGTTCCTGTTGATGCTGTCTTTGGCCAGCGTGATGGCCAAGCGCTCTCCTCTGCTGCACTCCATAGGGTCATCAAGGATGGCAGCTAACAAGAAGGGAAGGGAAAAGAGTGATGGGTTGTGAGTGTGAGAGAAAAAAAAAGATAATAAATAATTATGCCTGCTGGTAAATGATGTTTTCCCATATGAATGAGAACCAGGGTGGCACATATGGCCAATGATTATTCAATATGAGAACCTGTGAAGACAGATCATGTACTTAAAGCCTTTTTTCTTCTAGATCTACAATAAAAGTTCAATGCACTGAAAGCTGCTCCCAAGGTGTATGGATTTATTAGCACCAATACTTAGGTGACATTTTGTGTGCACTGCTCTCCATTAATCTAGAGTGCCTACAATGGCTCAGTATTGTTCTTAATGAATCCATATACTTTGGGGCACAGCAGCTCTTAGTGTGTGGAATACTTTCACTCTGAAAGGGTGAGTGCAATTTAGTGTAAATTGTATCATAAAGATCTGTATGGTAAAAGCTTGAAAGCTTAAAAGCTTTAAAATCGTGCACCTGTTCTAAGATGTGTTCAACTACACAGCAAAAAGAACAAATTCTTAACATAATGTTTACTGCATCAAGCATTCAAAACATCTGTCGGTTGTTAAGTTTTCAAAGAGGCTGTGTAGAGACTTAAAACTTCAGTCAGAGACACTACAGTGTGTAAGTATACTACAACATTAAATTAGTTTATCACAGGATTTGTCATGTTATAAACTGAGAAATGATTTTGCATGCAAAAATGTATTTGTTGTATTGTAATATAATAATCTGAAAAAGTGATGCCTGTCTTGTATATGGCTAAGCTAAGCCGATTATAAAGGGAGTGGATATAGATAATGCATTGTTCTCATTTTTTATGCACCTGTGACCTTTTACAGCACAACAGTGCTTCTTCTTTGTTTCATGTTATTCAGTGTTTCCTGTCTTTGTGTGTTTCCCACCAGTTTTGATTGTCTGCTTTGATTAATTTCACCTGTGTCTAGTTCTCCTCCTGTCACTACTGTATTTACTTTGTGTGTTCACTTGTCTTGGGCATAATTTGTCCCTGTCTATATATGAAGTGTTCCAGGAACTTCCAGCTGTTTTCCCCAGTGTTTGTTCCTTCTGTTTTTGGACTGTTTCCCTGGACTTTGCCTGTTTATGGATTTTCTGCTTGCCCCCTTTGGATTTGTTTGCCTTTTGGACTATTGTTTGGTTTTTCCTGTGCCTGACTACCAGCAAGTCTCTTCGTATTTTGATTTAGACATATTCAGTCATTTGAATTGCACCAGCTCAGCCTCAGTCTGCATTTGGGTTCAGTTCTTGAACTCGTGGCTACCCTGCTTGACAAAATTTGACACAGAGGTGTCAAATTGTCATTGACAATGAAGAAGCCATAGTAAACGTCATCTGTTTACTGTATTATCAAACGGGAAAGAAATGGAATGACGTTTATGCTTTCATTTGTGCTGAATAAATGGCCCATCTTAAATTTTTGATTATCAGTCCAATTATCAGACCACCATGAGCTTGTGATGCTTGACCCCAACAACTCTGTGCTGCATCAATACCCATCTGGGCCATGAGATGTCAATAATGTTTCCAAGATCACAGAAGAGCTTGGCCAATACTGAAATGTTCTGTAATAATTTAAACATTTCACATCAACCACTTAATCAGTTGAATAAACAACAAGTACCACTAGCTTGCAAAGATGAGACATATCCACTTATGTGATATCATCACAGGGTAGTCACAGCAAGCCAGTATCTACAACCTATTAAAATGCTTTGCTAAGATGCAGAGAGTAGAAGTGAAAGGTCATCCGAGGTTGTACTCATCTCTCTGTCTGATTAGAAAACTGTGGACAAAGGAATTATTAGTTTCTTTATGCACTTAACGGACTCCCTCTTTATCACGTACTGCTGACGACTGCTTAATATGATCACTGGCATATTATTTGGATAGTTTAATATAATCAAAGGCACACATTGTGTAGGCAGGCAAGGGATATCTCCCTGCACTAAGCAGTGAACCAAGTTGTAGTTAATGTGTTGTGCAAAGAGTATGATTTGTTAAGAGTGTAAAACAATCTTCTGAGGACAAGCAGGCATTTTCAATATGGCATTCATTACAGTTTGACATTTTTAGATTATAGAAGACTGCTCTTTATGGCTTCATTATGTGGGGAAAATGCCCTAGTCATCCTATCTGACCAAACTTCTTATACCATATATGTCTTCAGCATTCAGCGCAATCATTATTAAGCATGGTTCCCACAGAGTTTTCAAAATCCCTCAAAGCGGGCACAGCCTTATGTTGGGAAATGCAAGGTTTTAGATTTTTAAAAAACTCAAATATGGTTATCTGACAAGCCAGTAATCATTTGGTCACTGCGTGTGCTGCAGCTCAGTGTGTTGTCAGATGGTAACTCCCTGTGGGGGAGTGGACTTTGGGCTTTTTCACTTTGCAAACCCATTACATGCACAAAACAAGATATATAATACAATAAAGGAAAGGGGAAAAGCCAAAAAGCATAAAATGACCTCTTTAAACACTTCATATTAAATGACAGAGGTATTCAGGAATTGTTTTCAGCTGGACAAGTTTTCATGAATAATATCCGTTAGTATTTGGCCACATCTGAGAATATCTGGTATGACAGTGGAAGCAGCTCTTTAGTCAGGTGAGTTGATTTAATATTCATTAAAACTTTATGCTTTCATGAATGGCATAGTGTTTCTTATGACATCTGTCTCTATGAGGACGCTTCACTGTCTTTCTATATACTGTAACTTTTTTCCTCACTCTTCCTTTCTTCCTTAAAATGTCTGTCATTACTTTTGTGTTGACATGTTATTTTTTTCGTTCAGTCACTTTACTCTGCTTGATGTTGTTTGAATGTTCATTTGTATTGTATGTCTTGGTGAGCCAAAGAAAAATTTCCATCTCGGTGGACAATAAAGATTTATTCATTCCGTCATTCATTTGTTTTATCTTCTGTTTATCTCATTCATTTCATTTGAGACAATTTTCCTTGACATGAAAAAGTTTCATCGTATTATTTTCTCTCCCAAGGGTGCATCAAAAACATATATCAATATGTGCAGTAAATCACAAGTTAAATGCCTCCATACAATGTGAAAATCTACCCACAAATCACTAGGCAGTGTATGCCTACTGAATGAAATGTATAATTCTGACATGTCTTGGTCTCACAGGAGTTGACATTTGTAAGTGGTCAGTGCATGACAGCTGGCAAACAAGCAGGGCTGTTTTCACACGGGGGAACGTCTCGGGTTACGTATGTAACCCTGGTTCCCCGAGAAGGGGAACGAGAGACTGCGTCGGTTACGACACTATGGGAACGCCTCTAGGCGAAGCAGGTCTGAACGTGAATGAAATCACTCCAATCCTATTGGCCTGTTGCTAGAACGGTAAGGTGTGACGGAATAACCGGAGGAGTATAAAGCACACCTGTACACACTCATCATTAGCTTAAACTATGAAGCAGGCGCTTCAGGCGGGGAGAGAGGTGCGGCGGGCCGACGCAGTCTCTCGTTCCCCTTCTCGGGGAACCAGGGTTACATACGTAACCCGAGACGTTCCCCTTCGAGGGAACTCGAACTGCGTCGGTTACGACACTATGGGAACGAGATACCCACTAAACCGTGCCGAAAACCCCGCCTGCCCCTGTGTGCAATAAAGTGGCACTACTAAGAGGAGAGCGCACGAGTACCAGGTGCCGAAGGAAGGTCAAGACTGTAAAACCGAATGAATGTGTGCGGAGTGGCATAGCCAGCCGCTAAACAACATCCTGCAAGAGGCCCCGGAAAGGAGGGCTCGAGAGGCCGCCTTGCCTCTGGTAGAATGAGCCCTCACAGCCACAGGTGAAGGCAAACCGCGCACCTGATAGGCCAGGGAAATAGTCTGAACAATCCAGTTGCTAATAGTATGTTTGGATGCAGGGAGCCCGGCCCTGGGAGACCCAAAACACACTAGCAGCTGGTCAGCCTTCCTCCAACGGGAGGACCTCAGAGTGTAAATACTCAGTGCTCTGACAGGGCAGGGCAGATGAAGTCTCCCGTCCTCCGCCGTCACATGAGGTGGAGGATGAAATGCCTGCAGCACTGTGGACCCTGCCGCACAAGAAGGCACTTTAGGGATGTATCCTGGACGAGGGTGCAGGATAGCCCTAATATTCCCCGGGGCAAACTCCAGGCTTTGCGGGGAAACCGAAAGCGCTTGGAGATCCCCCACCCTCCTCAGAGAGGTGATAGCAAGGAGAAAGGCCATCTTGAGGGTCAAGCGCTTAGCCTCAGCTGACTCTAGGGGTTCGAAGGGGGCCTCAGCCAACGCCCCAAGAACCACCGCCAGATCCCAAGGGGGAACCTTGGACCGAGTCGCAGGTCTCATCCTCCGGGCACCACGGAGGAAAAGTACAACCAAGGGAAGTTTCCCCAAGGACCCCTCCCTCAGAGGGGTGTGGAAAGATGAAATAGCTGCCACGTACACCTTGAGGGTGGAAGGGGAAAGACCAGCAGAGAACCGGTCCTGGAGGAACTCAAGTACCTGAACCACCGGGCAGGTAACAGGGTCCACCGACCGCTCCCTACACCAAGTGGAGAAAACACTCCACTTCAGGCCGTACATCCTCCGTGTGGACGGGGCCCTGGAGCTCAGGAGGGTCTCGACTGCTCCGGCTGTTAGACCCGCCTCTAGGTACTGTGCCCCCTTAGGGGCCAGACCCACAGTCGCCATATGGCGGGGCAAGGGTGAAGAACCCGGCCCTGCGCCTGGGACAGCAGGTCTCTCCTCAGAGGGACCCGCCACGGCGGGCCGTCCAGGAGCGACATGATGTCCGAGAACCACACCCGGGTTGGCCAGAACGGGGCTACGAGCAGTAGGCCGACATAGTCCTGGCGGACCCGCTCCAGAACCCCGGGAGCAGAGCGACTGAGGGAAAAGCGTACAGACGTAGCCTCGGCCACGAATGTACCATGGCGTCCAGACCCAACGGGGCTGGAGGAACGAGAGAAACCATAGCGGGCAGTG